TCACATTACTTTAGTAGCTATCACACAAAATCTGTAAGTCTGATAGTATAAAAAAATCCAAATGAAAACATTTGCTGAATATATTATTTTCACTAATAAAAATACTGCTACCTCCTAAGTGTTTACTATGCATATTTAAATGAACTTCAGAGAAATAAATTATTTTCTTTTTCTTTTTTTGAGTCAGGGTCTCACTCTGCTGCCCAGGTTGGAGTGCAGTGGCACAATCATGGCTCACTGCAGCCCTGACCTCCTGGTCTCAGGAGATCCCCCAGGCTCAGCCTCCTGAGTAGCTGAGACTACAGGAGTACACTACCACATCCAGCTAAAAGAAATGAATTATTATTTTCTTTCTTTTTTTTTTTTAAGGGATGGGAGTTTCATTATGTTGCCCAGGCTAGTGTCAATTCTTAGCCTCAAGTGACTCTTCTACCTTGGTCTCCCAAAGTGCTGGGATTACAGGCATGAGCCACCATGTCTGACAAATTCTTCTTTATACGTTATATATACCATATACATATTCACTCCCAACAGACTCCATCGTGTATGAAGGAAGGCAGATATTATTCTGAAGGGTGTGTGAAAAGGGCATGGTGAATGCTGCAACTAGCACCAGAGGTAAGTAGGTTTTTCATGAGCCTCTTCACATGGGATGCGAGGTTTAGGCCCAAGTACATGTGTCTATTAACAGCATGTTTGGGGATATCTAATAGATTCCACTGCATCCGCCAATTTTTCTGCATTCTTTTCTCATGAAAAAATAGTGAACTGTAGAAGGAGAGAGGAAGAGTGGAAGAGAGAGATAAAGAAAGAAAGAAAGATCAACAGCCCAGAAGCGGACCCATCCTCTCCTCCACCCTCCTGTGTGACCAGGGTACTCTGAAGCACTCACTCCACCTCAGGAACCAGTCTCCAGTCTCCACCCCTTCTGCGTGTCCCCCATGTAAGTAAAAGATGACCAGTTTAATGAGAAGGAAGACCTGAAGTCATGCATACAGGTCAATTTATTAAGAGAAGCTCGATGCGCTTTTATACCAAGCTCTACACCTGGCTTCCAGGAAGAAAGGGATTAGGACAACAGTTCCAGGTGAAATGAGACCTGCCTGTCAATAATCCCCTACAAAACAGGAATTTTTCCCAGGAGGCACACTAGCACCCCCCGACACAGCTGAGACAACAACCCAGGAAGGGATCTCCAGGAAGGCTGTCCCTCTCCCTTATACACCTCCCAGCTATTTGTCCGCATCAGGGTTATCTGGGCAGTGTGATTCGGCATTTAAATACCACCAACTATTTTTAAAAGTAAACTGGCTGTAGGTGTAAGGGAGGTCAAAACGAAAGACCTTCTCAGCAGGAAACCACCAGAGGCTCGGGTGGTCCCCAGATCACCAACCCAAGAGCTGCCGGTCCTGTGGGCCACCACTGCGCTGGAACGGTCTCCACCCAATCACCCTACAAAAACCAGGGCAGCAGCATCTTCAGGGAAGAGTCAGACACAAGTGGGAGCAGCTCCAGGCACTCCAAGGACCTTTTCTCGCAGCTGCTGTGACTCTGGCTTAAGACAGCAGCATGGGGGCACAGAGTCATGGATGAACTCCCTCCCAGCCTGGTGACTCCCTCCCAGCCCTTGCTGATGTGCTGAAAATAGAGGCCCACCCCCACCCCGTCTCATTTCCAGTGGCACACCAGCTCCCAATTCCCATGATCCCCTTGTGAAGCTTCCTGCTGCTAAACCAGCAGGCGTCTGATGTCCAAGCAGGTGTGGGTGCCCAGCTTTCGAGGGAAGGCTGCAGCCTCCAAGGCACATTGCCCACCACCTGGGGTGGCTCCAGGGTCACTCTGACCACCAGATGTTCTCGTTTTCTTGCTTTCTATCTCTGTCAGATTTCCTCTACTTTCTCTTCTACTGAACTTTCTATTTTTTCTAGTTTTTATGCTTCAAGGCCCTGTTTGTTCTTTAAATATTCTTTTTCTTAAATCTGTATTCTGTTCTTGTTTCATCATATTCTCTGCTCTCTCTTGGGAACTGGAGTTCCTCTCTGCAATCCTTTGCGTCTCTCAGTCTCCGCTTTTCCTAATACCAACAGGAAGGGGACACACCTACCTGTATAGGGTACTCTCTGGGTCCTGGATTCCCACTGCTTCTCTCACTCAAGGAGTTTCTTTGGGGTCCAGCTGCCAAAGCCAGGTAGCAGCAGGCAAGGCTACAGAAGGCCATCTGGTGGGTGATGGGCACTGCCTGAAATCACCCCAGCCCACAACCAACCACAGGAAAGGGGCCCAAGTTACAACACATGCTCTGAATCCTGCTTGTCAAACTAATCTGTGGTATCATTCTTATGTCAATAAAACTCACTTATTTCTAACCAAATATAGTTTTCACTTTAAAAGTACCCATCTGAGATTGGGATAAGACTGGCTTCTTATAAAATCTGACTTCAGCCGGGCTCGGTGGCTCAGCCTGTAATCCCGGGCCTTTGGGAGGCTGAGGTGAGTGGACTGCCTGAGCCCGCAGGTTCAAGACCCGCCTGGGCAACCTGGCGAGACCTCATCTCTACAATAAATAAAAAATTAGCCAGGCGTGGTAGCGCGCGCCTGTAGTTCCAGCTACTTGGAAGGCTGAGGCGAAAGGATCGTCGGAGCCCAGCAGGTCGAGGCTGTGGTGGCCGGGAGCGGCCACTGCACTCCAGTCTGGGCGACAGAGTGAGACTCCAACTCAAAAAAAAAAAAAAAAAATGTTTACAGTGGATCATCCAGGCACTTAGTCTGAATAATGAGTTAATTTGGGGAAAAAAAGTTTTTGAATTCCTTATTTTCATGTCTACTGTGCCTAGAGGTCAAATGACTGAGCAAAGCTTCATTAAGAGAATGAAGAGACAACTTTCTAATTTGGAGGAAAAAATGAAAAGAATAAACTATCAGAAAGGTGGTCAAATTAATTTCCCTGATAAATACAAAAAAACTTACTTCTCTATTGTGAATTAGGTAGTTCTTTCAAGAAGTCAGAATATAACGTCTAAATGTTAGAAACCATAATAATTGATAAAAGCAGGCAGGCAGGAGGGAGTACTGCTCACAACCTCATGGCACTAAAGTAGTGACTGTGTCCTTTGGGGGCAGCTCCTGTGTGTCCTGGGACACATGAGCCAGCAGGCGGTGTGGGGCACAGTGCCATGGGCATCAGCACCTGGCCTGAGGCAAGGCAACCACCTCTCTGGCCTCAATTTGCTCTGCTAGCAACAAAGTAACCACATAGGAAGACTGAACAGCCCTTCTTTTATGGTGCCATCACTCCAGAGAGGCGGGTCTGTGTCTGTGTTTGCTTACGAAAGTCTCCTGACTGGCTCCAGAGGCTTGGCCTGAGAGCAGGGCCTACAGAAGAGGAGAGTGCAAAGCCACAGAGATCACGATGGCCTTAAGCTTCTCAACAGTAACATGGAAGGTGGAAGACCCAGAAGTGATGCCTTCAAAGTCCCCAGGAGAAGGTGATTTACAACCCAAAACTCCACACTGGATAAACTACCAGTCACACATGTGGGTGGAATAAAGACACTGATCTCAAAAAAATTATCTTACATGCCCCCCTTTACAGAAACCACAGGATAATATGTGCTACCAAATCAAGAGAATTAACCAGGAAAAAGGAAGACGGGATCCAATCCCAGAGGAGGGAGGGAGAACACAGAATGAGTGCAGTAGAGTAACATAAAGAACAATCAACGCTGAAAGGACTGGGAAAGATGGAAGATGCATCTCCAAGGAAAAACACACAGAGACGGCCTGGTATGTCTGCACTCTGGACCTTGATAATGTGGCCAAAATACCTGGAGATAATTAGTGATAGCATCACAGAAAAGTAAGCTAATGAAAAATCAAGGCAAATATTAACTCCAGAGAAAACAAAAACGGATTCAAGTATAGTTTTCATGCACCACAAGGCTCAGCTGTAAGTTACCTAGTCATAATATTATAAACACTGATTTAATCAAAAGTTATTATTTTATTAACTGAGATGATGTGGGAGAGGGAAAAGAATTTGAAAATATGTGTGGGTGAGAGAGAAGTAATTATGTGAAAGAGTTAAATCTTCATTTTAATAGATGTGACCTAAAACGAAAGAAAGAAAGAGAGAGAGAGAGAGAGAGAGAGAGAGAAAGAAAGAAGTAAAATTAGCAAGATAAACTTGTTATTTAGAAATATAGAGGTAAATCCTGGAAGAATAGCTAAAAAGTTTATAATAGTTACCTGAGCATGTGAAATCAGGGTTGGCAAGGCTGGGCTATTTTTTTTTTTATAAGCTCTGAGGAACTATTTGACCTTGAAAAACCATTACCATATAATTACTGTGATAAAAATACAAGTAAAACTAGTTTTTTTAAAAAATAAAAGCAAAACGAACCATACAGGATGGAATCTTCAAGTCTCAGAACAAGATGAAAGCAAACATACGAGTTCAGTGGCCAAGTCACTGGGGAGCTACCTGCCCAGAAAAGGCAGCAGTGGGGTCAGGTGAGCCAGAGGGGCGGCTTCACGCTTCCCTCCCACTGACATGCAATTCTAGTCCTGCATGTCACCAGGGCATAAGCTTCTCTTCCTCAGCCCCATGTTCCCTTTGTGTTTCATGGGGTGATGCCAGCTGTGGGCCTTTTATGGGTCAGCGTGGAACAGAGGCATCCAGACCCCACATGAACACCGGGGAAGGGCAGGCATCTTAGGGAGGGGGCATTGCAGGGAGAGGCTGAGTCAATATCATGTAAATAAAAAAATAAAAACCTATGGTGGCTTCAGTTGACAGAAGTTAGACTGCCACAACTGTCACAGTAAAAGCTGAATCAGGGATGTGCACAAATCATCTATGCTGTGTCAGATCAATGTGTGGAAACACTACCTGCAGGGCTTCTTGGGAAGGACTGGACCTGGGGTCTGTGACTCAGGGAACTCTGAAAGGAATACTTCAACATGCTAATGCAGTTTCCATCACTATGTCAGAAGGCACATACCTGTGGACATAATGCAGCTGATGGATGGAGTCGATGGCCAACACCATCTCACCAATGTAGAATCTTGCCATGTCTTCTGGAAGCTTGTCTTCAAATTTACTAAGCAGGGTCAGCAGATCACCACCCACATAGTAATCCATGACTAGGTACTGCACATTGGAAAGAGAATGGAAAGAGTGCCACATTTAGTCACCACCAATCTGACAATTAAAGGTTAAATTTCCACCGTGGAAGTCCTTTGACTCTTCAGCTGTTAACTGATGGTGTCTCAGTTGTTCTTTTTTTTTGAGTTGGAGACTCACTCTGTCACCCAGATTGGAGTGCGGTGGCTGCTCCCGGCCACCGCAGCCTCGCCTGCTGGGCTCCAGCAATCCTTCCACCTCAGCCTTCCAAGTAGCTAGAACTACAGGCGCGCACTACCATGCCCGGCTAATTTTTTGATTTATTGTAGAGATGAGGTCTCGCCAAGTTGCCCAGGTGGGTCTCGAACCCGCGGGCTCAGGCAATCCACTCACCTCAGCCTCCCAAAGCGCTGGGATTACAGGCTGAGCCACCGAGCCTGGCTTCAGTTGTTCTTAAGTCATCCGGGATCCCCCCAGAGCACATACCCTGATGTGTGCAACACCGCTGTAATGGTAAGCTATGCCAAGAACAGACTTCAGTAACACATTTATAATCAATGGAATGGCCAAAGAGTTCAACATTGGAGAAGACACTAAAAGCTAGTGATCCAAAGGAGAAGCACAATTAACAGTTCATCAAACCCTACTGGGTTTAAAAATAATTCTCAAGCTCCTCACGGCACTGAGGCAGACACTGGCCCAGAGGATGGGGGAAAGTATCTACATCACACATGTTACCAGTAGTTCTTACAGGAAAGATGGCATCATAGAAGTGGAGAGATAAGTATGTAGAGGTTCACTCCCACACAAAAACCAGAAAGGCTACTGCTTTAGTAGAAACTAAAGTCCAGGAGGAAAAGTATTTTCTGCTAGTGGGGTGAGCCCATCCCTCCACTTGCCAGTGGGCAGGCCACATGCTGGGCACGGGAGACACCAAGATAAGACTGCACAGCGTTCCACCTGTGCTGGAACGGCTTCTCCCAGCAGCACACAGAAGGCTACGGCCATGAAGTCCAGGGTCTGTGGAGGCCCCAGTGGGGGGTGGGGGGTGTCTCTCAGTGGATCAGAGAAGCCCAGGACAGGCAAGACCATCACAGCCAGAGTCAGGGTGGCAGCCAACACCTCTACTGCTCGGCTGCTAAGCCTCAGAGAACAGGCGGCCTCAGCCTCACAAAAAATTGCCTTTTTCGATGCTTATTTGACTGTCCTGATCCGAACAGCTAATGTCTAACTCATCAACACAGGGAGCAAATTCTGCTTCACTCAGCCAGGGGAAGAGCCTTGTAATCCTTACCAAGAGCTCAATAACAGTAACAGCTACTAGTCATTGTGTGGCTGCTATATCTACACCCAATGCTCCACCAGCTCTCACCTAAGGTACAGTCAAGATCTTGTCTTACACAACAGATCTGAGGACACTCCCCGAGCAAGTGACAGGGCAAGGACCCAGATCCAAGCAGCTGGATTCTAGAGCCCACCATCTCCAACCTGACATTGCAGCCTCCTAAGGAAGGAAACCTCTACCCTGGTGAGCTTGTCTGAAGAAGGGAGTGGGTCCCGCCAGAGCTCACGAAGCGAGAAGCTTCATCTCAGGTTCCTGTTTTCACGTGGAATCTTGACCAGAAATGCTCTTATCCTGCTCCCAAGACTTTCCTCAACTGTCACCTCCCCTGTGAAGCCTTCCTGAAGTCTCCCTGCCCATCTCAGGTGCTGCCCCTACCCCTTCCATCACCTGTGAGTCTCAGGGCAGGAGCCAGTGCTGATGCTCTTCTATCTCCCCACCTCTCGCCCAGTTCCTGCTAACCAGAGAACTCTCAGGGGACACTCCCTGAGTTAGCTCTTCTGTTGATTCGCTCACTCGTTCTTGCAACAGCGAATCTGTTGGCACTTCCCTGAGCAACAGGGACACTGGTAGGTATAAGACAAGCAAGGTCCCTGCTTGGTGAAACTCACGGTGTGTGGAAGGAGAAACCACGGCAAGCCTAGAGACCACACAGTGACAGGTAGAGCAAGACCACAGGCCACCCGGCTCAGCGATGAAGCCAGGGGTCACCGAGTAGAAGCCTGAAGGGCACCCTGGGATTGGGCTCCAAAGAGGCGGCACACTGGGGAGATGGGATGGATGACCATGGCCAGCACCTGGAGAGTAGGGCCCTGGCCACAGTGGGGGCTGCAGCTCCACTCTAGGCAGCAGGGCGATGCAACCCAACAACATTTAGACGCCTTCTCTGTTGGGAGTTGGAGGCGTTGTGTGTGAAGGAGCAGTGACCAGGGAGGCCAGTGGATGCACACTGGAGATTCTGGAGGGAGAGGCCACAACAGCTATGATGGATGCACACGAGGTGAGGGGAGAGGAGGTAAATGAATGGCCAAGACCGCAGGCCCCGAAAGAAAGCAGGAAGCCCAAGTAAGCCCCTTATCCAACTGGTCCCCAACTGTTTCCATGTCTATACAGAAATCCAAAAAGAAAAAAGGATACTAGAGCAGTGCTCATGACTGACGGTATCCTTGAAACAAGTTTGTAAGAAAAGTAAACTGCGGCTGCACACGCTGGCTCAAGCCTGTAATCCCAGCACTTTGAGAGGCCGAGGTGAAGGGACTGCCTGAGCCCACGGGTTTGAGAACAGCCTGGGCAACTTGGCGGGACCTCGTCTCTACAATAAATCAAAAAATTAGCCATGTGTGGTAACATGCACCCGTAGTTCTGCTACTTGGAAGTCTGAGGCGGAAGGATTGCCTGAGCCCAGCAGGTTGACACTAGGGTGGCTGTGAGCATGCCGCTGCACTCCAGCCTGGGCGATGGAGTGAGATACAATTCCAAAAAAAAAAAAAAAAAGAAAGAAAAGAAAAGAAAAGTAAACTGCAAGAATTCTTAAGGCAGATAAGTAGAAATTTAACTTCTGGAATAAGAACTAGAGCAAATCTTTCCACAGGATTCCGAGTTAGGTCAATGAGGCAACGCCCTTTCAGTTCATGGTGAAACAGATTAAATTCTTATAAAATTCTAAGTTAAACACCTATAATAGAAACAAAGGAACCCACATCTCATGTTAGAGACAACTAAAACCTGCCTGCACACGTGCCATTCTAATGACCTCCAAGGACGGAAGATGTTGCCTGAACACACCTGCTCACAAGTGGCAGGTATGCAGTCCCAGAAGCTGGACCCACAGTCACATGCTGGAAAGCTCAGCACCCCTGCCCTCTTCCTCTCACTCTTAATTTCCATGGACTTCCAACTAGGTAACTCCAGAAACTCAAGACAACGTCATCTTCACTGGGATTCCTAAGGTGTTAACTTGTAATACACCTGGTAATGCCTCACATTTCAGACATTAGTGCACTATGCTGACTTTGGGAAAATATCAGAAAGAAAACAGAAAACATTCTCTTCCTTGTACAGATCCATGCTGCCTAGCACTCCTCAGAAAATTCACTCCGGTTTATCAAAAGAAGAGACGGCCAGGCTCAGTGACTCAGCCTGTAATCCCAGCACTCTGGGAGGCTGAGGCAAGTGGATTGCCTGAGCCTGTGGGTTCGAGATCCATCCAGGCAACTTGGCGAAACCTCATCTCTACAATAAATCAAAAACTAGCTGGGTGTGGTAGCACACGCCTGTATTCTGGCTACTTGGAAGGCTGAGGCAGAAGGATCGCCAGAGCCCAGCAGGTCGAGGCTGCAGTGGCCTGGAGCATGCCACTGCACTCCAGTCTGGGCAACAGAGTAAGACTCCAACTCAAAAAAAAAAAAAAAAAGAGGAGACAACCACTTGGGTCCTCAGAGTAGGGACTCTGATCCAGGAAGTAAGGGGTTGTGTGGAGATAGTCCCAGTGTATCAGATCTGGGACCCTGGCTGTTATCTGTGCAACAACCTTGGGCAAGTGACCTCACCTCTCCTTGCTCCAGATATCCTCCTTATAAAATCGTAAAAATCATGAAAGTCTAACTCACTGGGTAGTTGAGAAAACTGACTGGGACAACCCGAGGGCCTGATATGTCCTACGTGTTCAGTAAACATTGCTTGCCCCTTCTGGGGAAGCAAATAAATGTATTTACAAGCCCATTCGATTCTCATGAACCAGTGGAACATATGACCAAGGAGCTTCAGGGTGAACATGTGTGTCAGCTGTCATGGAAAGAGAAAACCTCGGGTAGGTTCCTGCTCTGAAGCTGTGGTGACCACAGCAATCACAGCCCTCTCACTGCCACTGTGGAAACAGCGCCAGCCAGAGGGAGTTAAGCCCAGACCTGCTCCCTGAGTGCAAGGCCCATCCACCCAGAACTCCACAGGGTGGGTACTTTTAAGTTTTGGCAAACCTGAAAAGTCATTGTAGGAACAAAAAGTCCCGAGGTCACTCATGGCCTGAACCAAGGTCTGGCTTCCCCTTCATTTCCAAGCTAGTTGTCTCTCAAGTGTAACTGAGGTGTCCACAGCTATGTCCATGCTCACAACCATGTCCATGTCCACGCTCAGGTCTACGCACGTGTATGGGTCACAAATGATCAGTCAGTACCAAAGTGAGCCCTGGCTCCAGTCAGAAAAATAAACAGAAAAATAAACATGGAAACCTGGAGGTACCTATAATTGTCATAAGGCCCTCAGGGCAGCTCACCCACCGCAGAAGGACTGCAGGCCAGCGGGAGGCACCCTCTGACACGGCCACTGACTAAAACAGAAACATCCACGTAGCTAAATCTCTACAGCAGTTTCTTATTCTTTTCTTTTTTTTTTTTTTTT